ATTATTAGAACTATACAAGAATAGATAGCTTCTTGAATCAATTACTCACAATTAATTTTTATTTTTTTGTACATCATTAAGATCATAGTTTTCTAAGCTTTTTTCTCATAAATTTTTATTATCCACATCTGTATAATATGGATAGTATAGAGAATTATATCACATTATTATTCATCATCAAGAAGACCAGAAAAAACTTGCTTTATATTATTAACTTCAATATTGCTCTGATTTATAAGAATATATCAGAATATTCAGCAAAAATATTTATTTTGGATTATTTATAGTACTTTAATAACTGTTTCACTATCTTTATTACTTACAAAAAAGTGAGTGCTAATATTCCAGCATCCATAGCCATCATGAAGATATAAAGTAAATAGATACTAATCATATTTATTTATTTTATATATAGAGTCAATTAAAATAAGCTAGTTATGATGTTGTAGTTTTTCAAATTGCTTAGAATATATAAAAATAATATCTTTGATAAACTGGTTGAAAATATAATAATGCTCAATATGATATTCTTGTTCATTTAAATAGGATATAATTTTCAGAATATCTAACTTTAAGTTGGTATTACTAATAAAGTGAGCCTCTATAGATTTATGAAGCTTATATCTGATATTTACAACTTTTCTTTATTTTAAGTTTTGAATACTAGTATCAAGATTTAGTTTATTAATTATGTATTTCTTAATAGCATTAATAATTACTACTGATGAATAATTTTTTATTACTTTTTATTTAATCAGAGTTCAAATAATCTCCAAATATTTGACTTAATTACTTTTTTTAGAGTATATATATAATTTGACAAATTATTATAGTATTTAATTCAAATCTTCTTGAAGAAAACTAATTATGTAATTTTAATTTTGACATAACAAAGTCCAGATGATCAAATTATTATTTTTCTGCATTTTTCATTTAGGATATCTTCATTTTGTCACATGTTTAAGTCTTGATATTTTGTAAACTGACACATAAAAATCTTCTAGAAATTACCATTAATGAGTTTATAAGAATTAAATTGAGTTTATATATTTAAAATCAAGAACCACTAATCATTATCAAATTCTTCATTTAAAATCTCAAATATATTTTGTATATCAAAAAGAAGAATCTGTTTTTCATCTGAAATAAGACAAGAAGTATCTATTAAAAATAGTCAAGATGATGATAATGATAATGGTAAGAAGTGATGATGGTAAAGATAATAGAGATGATATAACAGATGTGATAATAGAGTAATAATGATAAATATGGTGATAGAATAATAATAATGATAATTAATAATTCTTGTTGAAGATGATATAAAAAAAAGTATTAATATAATTCTCATAGAACTAAATACCACAACTTAAAAGTCAAGAGAATGCATTCAGTTGGATAATTAGTTCTGATGGGAATACTTCAATCAGGTCAGTTTTACAGGGAGTTGACAGACTCTGCCTAACACACAAGATAGAGTATCCTATCAATCTCAAAACTTAGCTAATTATCTGCTTTTGAAAATGAGATCCAAATACTTACATTTAGTCTGAAATGCTTGTTATTTATCAGAGAAACACTATATATCAGACTCTCTAACAAATCTGCCTCATTTTAAAGTCAACAAGAGAAAAAAAGCCTCATATTATTATTATATCATAATAAACTTATTCTTTATCTCATAATTTAGCTACAGATATATGAATATTTCATAATTTAATCACAGTTACATACGTACAAGTATATAGATATTCAGATGTACAGATATATGAATATCTCATAATTTAATAAACATATGAATACATATCTTATCATATCACAAATTATCAGACTATGTGATACTAATCATGACTAGATACTACTCTGCTTTAATAGTACCCATTATTCTTATTCATTATTATCCTTAAGTATTGTGATCCTTATTATTATGAATCTTACACATTAAAGCATTTTTGTCTTGTCATTAGTTTTTGATCAATAGTGAGGCTTGATACCATGTGATTAATTCTCATAATTTTTTATGTCATAGTAAATCTAATTGATTGGTAATCTAAAATTTAATTGATCAATGATTGTGATAGCACTAATTATGACTAGACACTACTCTACTTTAACAGTATCTCTAGATTAGAGGGAACACTAAAGTGAGATAGTACAATCTGAATTGAGTCAATCTGGATTGATTTGATTCAGATTTATATGTAGTATTACATGCAAAATAAAATAAACTTTTCAAGAAAATATTCTCATATTTTCAAGGGTGAAAAGGGGAGGGGATGGAAGCTAATTATGGTTTTTATGTTAAATATAGGCTAATTAAGACTAATAACATTTACTACTATTAATGTTAAGATATATATAACTGTTAAGATATGCATTAATATATTTATTCACCATACATACTCATAATTTCTTTATATACTCTCACCATTTCTCTATATTTTCACATTTCTTTATATTCTTATCATTTCTCTATTTCTCTAATATGCAAGCAATGAATAAAAAATACCTCAGTATATTTAATATTGACAAATTATTTGAAGTTTCAGAAAAGAAATTTTGTGAAAATTTATGGTCACTTGTTTCTAATGTATGAACATGATATAGTAGTTAGAAATATAAGAATAATAATTTTTAGGTTATTTATTCCTGCTATTTAGTAAAATATAGAGAATCAAGTATGCATAAAGAAGATATTCCTATTGAGAAGCAAAGAAAAACTAGCAAGCTTGATCCTAAAAAGTGTGATGTAAGAATAAAAATAATACATATTGCTTCAACTCAAATAGTTTGTATTAAATATTTCAAAAATATATCCAATTACAGCTATTCAATTAAAAATAATAACAAGATTAAATAATTTGAAATCATTTAACAAATAGTAGCTAATGAAGCAATAAAATTATATACATTACTGACTATTGTAATTATCATCAAAAAACTAGCAGAAAAGAATAGCTTAGGCATTATTAGTCAAAATCTACATCAAACTGAAGTTATTAATATTTAGCAAAAGATATATAGATCATTAATGGTTTATCTTGTAGGTGAGATGGACCTAGAGCTCAATATTCAAAATTTACTCAAGCTATTAGTCAGTAAAAATTATAAAGTTGAATATTTTGAGATTACTCAATAATTATCAAAAGATTTTTGCTTCGTAAATTCTTGATAATTGAAAAAACTACAGCATTACAGATAACTTACGCTCATGAACTCTACTCATAATACTAATAAATATTATTGGTATCTATTTACTTTATATATCTGTGATAGTTACAGTTTCTGGAATATGGATGTATACTTTCTTCTAAGTAATAAAGACAGTAATATAATAATCAAGATATTAAAGATGATTTGAGAATTTACATCTCATTAGTATTCTCAGTATATACTTAGTGACTAAAGTAATATGGAGATTAATAATATTACAAATACTTTCCTTGGTATTATATGTGGTAAGCAAAATTGTGATATTATTTTATGTACTATTCACGTAATATGTATATGGCTATGTAATATCTATCATCTGATAACACATAATAAATTAATTCTAGCTATGCATAAAAGAATAAGTATAGGTTGTGAGAAAGTAATTTATAATACCATCACTATCTGTCCTATTCCAGATATCATTCACTATATTTAACGCAATTATTCAAAGAATACAGAGAAATAGATACTTTGAACATGTTAATATTTATCTCTCTTACTTCAAGTTACTTTCATGAATCTATTAGAATCATTCCATAGTGAATTAAAAAGATTAATCACAAAGAAATATGATTTAATTAGTAAGCATTATTAACTGCAACTATACTATATTTTTTACCATCATTATCATTATTAAATTACTATTTCTTGGTTTATTAGGTGCATATTACAAGATTATTAAGCTCAATAATAAAAAATAGTTGAATTTAGAAAAGGCTGTCTTCAACTTTTACCAAAAGCAAATCTTTACGATCAATATTAATGATGAAATTATTGAGAAAATTCAAAAATTTCCATATCCAATTCAAAAACTAATCTTGGGTGAGACTATTACTATAAATTTTAGGATTATGAAAGAAAAATCACTATCAAATCTGATATCACCAAATTATCATTGTATATTTTTTAATCATTATCTTCTTTCTTATTGATATATTCTTCATGAGTATCTATTTGGTCATAATAAATTACTAATGACTGATATTTGGAAGGAATTTCAGTAATTATTTGTGGAGACTGACTTTGAAGTGTATGAGCATTGGGAAATGATCAAAATATCTGAGCTTATTCAGATTCAAGAGAAAAGAGAGGCAAAAACATGTAAGTTACAGGTGGGTAAACTTATGAAAAGGATGTGAGATAAATATTGGATAATGAAGGATAAAGATGATGCAGATATTACTAAAGTATTTATCATCTATTTAGATAAATCATTAGGTCCAGTTTTTAAAATAGCAATATAAATAATTTTGTATTTAATTAGAAATAATTCAATAAAATAGCATTAAGTAATCTATTCTTTTCTTTCTATTAATATAGGTTTCTAATACGCCTAATGATTAAATATTCTTTAAATAATGATGATCAAGCTCTTAATTAAACGATCTAACTTTCTCGCTCTTAAAATAATTCACATGATTTGCTTTGACCAATCATGAATTTTAACGTAATTTAAAATCACATGATACGATCCGGATCGAATCGCATGTCACATGATACTACCCCGCTTTAGTGGACCCCTAGATTAGGAAATATGCAAAACAATAAGAAGCATATAATATGTATTTTATAGTTTATTGGAATTTTGATAATAGTTGCTAACAATAACAACAACTCATTTATATTTGATTTTTAAAATTCATCCATCATCAATAAAGTGCATTGTAGTATTGTGAGATTTCGTTAGTATATGGTTTCCTTGGTGTGTTGAGCCATTTTGATTATGGTGAATTTGATTTTTAGGTGTTTTTACATCGAATAAAGAATAAGGAGTATAAATGATTTAATGTTCAATAATGATGCTGATGTTCGACGTCAGCAATAGTAGTTGATGTTTTGTTTGTTATTAGTTCTGTTGGAATTTCTGTAAATTCGTTAATTTTTGGTAGTGTTATTATTGTTTTGTTATTGGATTCTTTGTGTTTCTGCTGCTGATGATTTGAAGATACATCAATGATTTTATTATATTCATTTGTTGTCGCAGTATTGATAATTTCTTTCAGCATTCGTACATCATCTTTGAGAAAACCCAGTTCAATCGAAAGTATAACATTTTTTATTTCAAGTTGATGAACTCGATCAATTAACTTTTCCTATTTGAATATTTTAGAAAGAAAAAATTGAATGAAATATAATAATGATAACAGCAAGATTCAGTACATAAACAATACATTTTTCTTTTTATAATCATTGTCCTTGTCATCGTTGTTATTATTAATATCCTTCGATAATGGTGATGTTGATGGTTTTTCTTTAATTGAAATATTGTCTTCATGATTTCCTGAAAGATTAATCTCTCGATGTTCATGTTCATCATTATAGTTGATATAAGTGGTGGCGATATTTTCTGTTATTGTAGTAGGAATAGTTCTTCTAAGACTAAGTTGTGGACTGTAATTGGCTTGAATAGAACAAGAATTCAAATATTGTCGTTCATCGTACACGTCGTCATCATGAAAATCATTTTGAAGCTTTTTGTTTTCCTCATTATCTGTTGAAAGTGTTTCATTGTTATTATCCTGTTCATCAAGGAATTTATTCCATGCCAAATTCAATACCGATTCTTTTGATTTACTGTTATGATCTATTGATGAATTATCGTCATCATCATCATCATCATCATCGACATCGGTATTACCATTGTTATTATAGATGTATGAATTGGTTGGCAAGGTACCAGAGTCTTTTGTTAATTCTATCTGATTTTTTTCTATCAGCATCGTTGTCGATGAGAGAGAGTCTTTATTATGATAAGCATTTATCTCTTCTTCACCCAAAGGATTTTTGTGATTTTGAGAATTCGATAGAAATTTATACCATTCCAATGACTCGATGGTAATTGGACGTGCTGCAATTGTAAAATTTGGCCAATCTGCAGGTTCTTCAAGTTGTGTAGAAGGAATATCATCATTAACAGAACTACTCTCGTCGCTAAACATAAATAAATATCAGTTTGAAATTATAAATTATATTTTTTTTTAAGAAATAAATGATACCTTATTTCAATTTCATTTTTGTCTTGGTGATCATTTTCAGTGTCAGTGTCGGTATCATTGCTATGATGTTGATTTGCATCTAAGGAAGAGTCGGGGAGAGAAAGATTGCGTAAAATTATCGTCATGATGTCGAATGCTATTATCGTAGAACTTGATTTTTTATTTTCTTACCCGATTGTTCTGTATCAACATTGTCGTCATCGTATTCATCACCATTAGACATAAATTGTGCACTTGATTGGGGTTTGTTGACCTAAAAAAAAAAAAGGGAGAAAACGCAAATTTTTTATTACTTAAATAAAAAAAAAATAATGATAATTATCCTAAATCATACCAAAGAAGAGGAAATACCGGCCCAATCAATATCTTTTAAAATACTTTTCTTACGCGCATTGATATCTATTATACGAGTAAAGAGCAATTAATAGTTAATAAACAAAAACCATTAATAAGAAAAGTTGAGGAAATAAGGAATAGCATAAACCTGATATTTTCTTAGAGTTTTCAGCGCTTTCTCGTCGTAGTCGAAAATCCAATCCAACATCTTTGTCGTCATCAAATGAATTGCCAATAAGGAAATTGATATAATTATTATTATCATTATTATTATTATTATTATCACTCTCTCGATGACATGTAATAATAGATTGTTCTTTTTGTTCAACAACGGGTGTATCCGTTTCTCCATCTTCACCGTCACTATTATCTTCACCAACACTTAAGTTGATCTTGTCAGTGTCGTTATTTTTGCTGTTATTCACTTCATCATTTGATGTAGAATTTTGATCACGACGATGAAAAAGTAAATCGATATTTGGCAGTCCCCGCGTTTTTCTTGTCACAGGGTTTAGAAAAACACGAACTTTTCGTAGTCTTTGTCGATTAAAGAATTCTCGTTGTTTCTGTTTTTCATGTTTTCCTTTTATCGCGTTTCTTTATCATCAAACTTCATTAATGTCGAAATTATAACAAGATGAGAGAAAAAAAAAGGGAAAATATAAACCTTTTACCACCAGTCCAATTCATTTTATGAATACGATATTGAACATAAACGTTTGCTCATTATTATTAATCAACTTCGCTTCGCTTGATTTATTAACATTATTATATACATATACACATATAATATGTCACTTCGCATTATCAGCATCATCTAAGCTTTGATCAAATTTTTCAGCAATTATCAGTAATATAATTAAAACTTATTCTGATAAATGCATGTTCTGTACATACACTCTACATTCGTTCAACCGGATCCCTCGTTATAGCGGAGAAATGCATCTGAACGTAATTTTTTAGTTATTTTTTATTAAGCAATTCATTGTAACGGATTGATTTTTTTCAGCCCAACAGATCCGTTATGATAAGAATAGAATGTTCGTTTTGATGTTGAGCCTCGATAGTAACTAAATTTTCATTCACCGTTACAAAAATTGCATCACAGTATAATCAGATTTTCTTGACCTCTGTTAGTGACTAATTTCGAATAAAGAAGTAAAACATCATTTAAACTTAAACAAGGGATTTTAATAATATTTCTCTGTTACGAATTATTCTCCTATCGGCGAGAGATCAAAAGAATAATTTAAATTTTTCTCTGGTGAGAAAGTTTTCCTTCATGAGAAACGTTATAAATGAAGAATGCTTAGAGAATGACTATGAATCGGTAATGTTTCAAAGTGAAATAAATCCATGTTTACAACCGCAAATAACAAAATTTATCAATTAAAATTACATCTATAAAATATCGTAATATATAAAAAAGATATACATTTGGGCTTCGCTCTTCTTACTATTAGTCTGAATCGTCGTCGTCATCACTCAATGCTGCTGTAGCAGGCTTTTTACTATAGATTGATTTTCGTGTTGACGAAGCATTTTCTTCGTAATCATCTTTCGAGCCTTTTTGCTTAAAAATTTCAATAGCACCAACTGATTCCAGGAAATCTTCTAATACTAATTATTATATTTTTGATTTTAGTTTAGTGAACCAAAAAAACCCATTTCTCACAAACAATGTCTCCAAACAGCACTGAATAAAATAATTGATTACCATTAATTGTTGTTCCCATCCCACCGAATCTTTGTATGCCGACTATCTGCTGTTGAAGGTCTCCTTCTCCATAAATTAACAAAGTGGGCAGATTTTTATCCGGATATCCCGGAATACAATCATCACCTATTATCTTTAGGAACTTTGTTGATTTATACTTCATGGCTAATGAGCTTAGAAGAGCATTCATTAATTTACACTCTGGGATCCTAATTTATCGATGAATCATATAATTATCCGATTGATCAAATCAAATTCATACACAGTAAATATCCGATCACTTACGCATCTTTAAATAAATGCACTATCACCCAATCTTCCTTGCTCGCGTCAGTAACTTCTCGAACGAAATCAGGCTTAGATATTTGAACGTATTGCCCGTATTTCGCACGTTCTGCTTCAGCTTTTATTTCAGCCATTCTTTTCTTCCTATTATCAAATATTCATTAAACCAATTCTGACGTTTGACACAGTTATCATTTGTTCAAATTGACAATAACCTATATTCCAATAACACTCTATCATCCTCCTCGTCCTCTAATTCATCCAATTCTTCAAGTGACTTTTCTTCCAAGCGTTTAGCATTTCTCGCTGCAATCGCCTCGTCCAATGCTTCAAAGATCTCCTCTTCAGTCGGTCCATTTTTCTTTGGCAGAATACCACGTTCGCGGAGAATATCATTCCTACATGTTGCGAATTAAATTTGATATAATGGGAAGAGGAACAAGTGCTAATAATTTTACCATTCTGTATCAGCATCCGGATCTTCCATAATTTTTTTTTAAAATGCAGGCCAGAATTTGAATTGCTGAGACGCAAATTTAAATAAGTTGTCGTTTTATTCAAAAAAATTTGATTGCGCCAAGTAAAATCCAAGAATTAATTTTCATGCCAAGTTAAAATAAGTATATTCCAAGAGTGCTCAAGAAATAAATTGAATAATTAATTTATATTGCATAATAAACATAAATTGAAAGAAATCTCTCATCAAACTTAAATAAAATAACCAATTCTATTTAATTGAGGCACTATTGTTATTCCCTTTGCCCACAAAAATCTCTAAAACATTTCGAAGATTTGTGATGAACCCTGTATCATTGTCTACGAGTTGCACCAAATCAATTACATGTAAGGATTCGCGGACTGCGATAAAATGTAAGGATAAAGATTCACATGTCGATGGATTTAGCGGACTACAAAAACGGATTATAGTGAATTAATCCAAATGAAAAATAATATGAAAAGGTATATGCATAGTAGTGATACTTACCCTATCCGCACATTATTTTCCAGGCATATTATGTCAGCTTCATTGGTTTCAAATTCCAAATATCGCTTCAAAAATTCTTTAGAAATTTCATTTATATTACGTCAAAATCTCGCGAACTTTTCAGGAGAGCAAGATTAATGTAGCATGAACATAACCTATACTAAACCTGCTTCTTCCATGAAAGCTTCGACAGTTGAATTTCCATGTCCTAAGACCTCAGTTGGAAGCGGAAGCTTGCCACCAGCCGGTAATGGTGGAAGATGTTTCATTGCTCTTTGATTAGGTGGTCTTTGTTAAATAAGGCTTGTCATCTTAAAACTCAACTATTTTGATAAAATTCACTCACGCGTCATTAGGGCGTCTTCTATTCGGAACTACTACTGTGAATCTCCTCACATGCTTGGAGCGATTTACTATAAACACTTGGATGGTAAAAATTTTACCAACAATTACTTTCGATTCAACTTTTTTAAGAATTCAAAAATAGAAAAAGCTCAATCGTTAATACGTACACATGTAAAAATGAAAGTTAACAGCAAAAAAAAAAAGAAGCAAATATAGATAATCAACCGGAAAATGACACAACAACACCGTCACTAGTCTCCACGTCATTATTCTTTTTATTGGCAGCGGCGAGTATTCCATTACCTACTGCGCTTAAAACATCATTATCCGGGATAGTTGGCAAGCCTGCAAATGTTCTTCGACTACCCGCAGAAAATGTTCCTTTTGTTGGGGTAGGGGTCATGGCACCCGGAGAAAAAATACTTCCAGGTCTGGAAGGAGTTGCAGCTTGAGTGGGCGTTTTCATCGTATTAAATTGCATGGATAATCTCTGATTATATCCTGGTATGCCCGGAAATTGTGGTGGCATAGAGTCGTCACGCCTTCGAAGATTGCTCAAATCTAACATGCAATTCCAACGCGATTCAATGCTACGACTGCGGATACCATCCAACGCCGGTGATCCTCGAACGACGATAGAGACGTGACGTTGTCGATCTTCTGTTGGAGCAACGGTAGAGCTCGAGGAAAAAACTGAAGCAATTGAAGAACGACGCGAAGAGGCGCGTGATGCATAAGGATTAGGAGGAGGAAAGAATTGCGGCGAATTTTTGGGAACGACAGTTTCTTCAAGTATCGTAATGCTATACAAAAAGGTAACTTGATCAACTGGATGTAAAGTTAAAGGGAATTTATCCTATAGTCGGACAAAAGAAAAAAATTGATATAATGAAAAACTAAGGAAATAACGCCGTATAATCCGCGTTTTCAAGAAGATACGAACAAAATATTGTTGATTGACAAAACCGCATAGGTAATAAAAACGCGAATAAAAAATAAAAAAAAAGCAAAAATACTTGATTCAAACTAACATTGCTCTCAAGTCCCCAGTCGTATTTCGTCACAATTCCATTAGCAATCTCGACTTTAACAGCCTCAACCTCAAAAGCACTTCCAGCATCAGTGTTATTTTCTAACTCAACTGACATCATTAAAACATTATCCAAAGGGGAGACACTGGTAGTTCGCATTCGAACATTTAAGGCTGATTTCACTGGTAGAACTTTACGAGTACTCCGCTTTATAGGTTGAGGCCGTGCAGGCATTGGATAATTAGGATAAGTATTTTGTCTTTTGGATTCAGCAGCACGGATTCGAGAAGTGGGGAGTATCAAACTTGATGTTGATTCATCAAATGAAGGATCTTGATTTAAATTAAATCAGATAAGTTAAATTTTTAATTTAATCCTTGCAAAAATACGAATTTTCACTTACCATCCGAAAGTCCTTGAAGTAAATTCACAGTGGTAAAATTGTCATTTGAATAAGGACTATAATCGTCTGGATCTTTTTGTATGGTAACTTGTGCTCGCTGCGAGACTACAGCTGTTAGTGCTAAAGCTGGTGATTGTGCTCTAGTTTTTACGTATGCTGTAAATGATCAAAAGTTATAAAACTGAAGTCAAATAAATCATAATCAACGGGAATGTAGTATATACGAAATCAATAATCTTAAAACATTCGACTCACCTACAGGAACAGCCAAAGGGACAATGCAACACCAACATTCATTCCTAAATAGAACTAGCATTTCACGATCCTTCGCCTTTGGATTATAAACGTAAGAGTAGATCACAGTTCCATCAACCTTTGGCATCTTTTTATCCATTGGTGCGGGTAATGGTGAGGTAGGTGTAGTAGGCGAATTTGTATTAGAATTTGATCGCGATCTTCCTGGCGGAAGACGATAAACCGGAGGTGGCGTAGGTGATGGTGCTGACAAAACACTTCCATCAATTAAGGAAGCCTCAGCAAAAACTTCAAGTTGTTGAAAAAAGGAAGTAGCGGACGCGTGATCATTTATGCCGGAATCAGAGGAAAGACGCACAATAAGGTAGAAAAATAGTTGTTCGTCTTTTCTTATTTTGTAGTTGAATGTATTAGATGCGAAGGTTCTTGTTAAGTGAAGGCAAAGTTCCTTTTTTTTCTAAATCTCACCGTAGTAAGCTTGAGTTCTGGCTCGTGCACAAAATATTTTTTCGGCATCTTCGGGGACGCAACGAAGAATTCCATTAGGTGTGGTAATGTCAAGAATTGCCTCGGTAAATAATATTTCTGGAGATTTCATTTTTCAACCAAGTATTACTACGTCGTATCCAATGTAAAAAATGCAGTAAATAATGCGCGCATAACGCCATTACTATATCAGATAAATTTTATTCAAACTCCGGAGATAAAAAACGCCGATCAATTATTAATTACTCTTTTTAAACATTTAGCACAATGGCCAATGATGCTTACCGCGACTTTATGGAATTGATAATAGAGGGTAATCTTTCGAATAAGATCAGGGATAAAATGAGTAAACTCTTCAATAAGCATAGTAATCTGGAGGAATCACCATTGCCAAAGTCCACAAAAAGGTGGGAAAGATTACCTACCAACTTGGAAAGTTCTTCAAAGATAACCTAGAACACTTAAAACAGAATAAAAAAGAAAGAATACAACGGAGTCTGAAGATGATCAATTCCCAAATGACATCAAAAAATGGTCTCCCGGATCATGTAAAAAAATTTCTCGAAGCTCGCATGAAAAGATTCAGATTATAATGAAACTGACATCAAAAAATTAGAGAGCAAGATCTCACGGGTAGAACTTTTCTTCGTTTAACTGAAGAAAAACAAACTCGTAAACCTGGTCTTTACGAACTCAAATCAACTTCAGCGGAAGGTATTGTTGAAGAGCTCAACAAAAAACTAGGTATGTAATTGGAATTATGCGAAGTGTTTTCTTATGCACAATTTCCTGAACGTCTTATTCATGTCATTCCTACTTTTTAAAGTTACACGTTGATTGGTTTACCCCTTAAAAATCACATAATCCCGTTATTATTTTCGGGACTTGTATGAAATGAATTTCCTAAAAAAAAGTACTTTCAAAATAGCTAACATTGATTTATTGATTCGGATCAAAACGTCTCAATTAAAAATCATCCCCAAATACGTCAGGATAACCTTTAGGTTTTAGGTAGCGAGTACGAGTTGTAATCTTATTAATTAACTCGAAATCTTTCTCTGGCAACAAAAAGTCATTAAAGTTTGCTTTGATTCTCGACGGTGTGACTGATTTCGGGAGAACAGAAGTTCCGCGTTGAACTGCCCATGAGATTAAGACTTGAACAATTGATTTTTGATTTGACTTTGCAATTGCTGTTAACGTTGGATCTGTGAGCAATGGGGCATTAGTGCTACCGAGTGGAGAATAAGCTGTGACGTGTATATTATTTTCTTTGCAGAATTCTAGTAGTTTCCACTTTTAAAAAAAATTTAGTTATTTTTATAGAAAAAGTTATCAAATATGATTATATAAATAAACATACCTGAGGTAAATATGGGTGAAGTTCAACTTGATTAACAGCAGGTATTATTCTGGCTTTACTAATCAATCTTTCAAGTCTACCTATACTAAAATTAGATACACCAATAGCTTTCACTTTAGATGGATCGATTTTTTCCATCTCTGACCAAACTTCAGCATAATCAATGTCCACCCAATCAAATGTACCATCTGGTTTTTTAGGTTCTAAATCTAAACATTCATTTTTTCGTATTGCTAATGGCCAATGCATCAAGTATCTATCATCAACAAAAATTAAATATGTTTATAATAAAAATAAATAACTTTATTAATAAAAAAAAACTTGAAATACATACAAATCGATGTAATCTAATCCCAAATTTTTTAACGACAATTCAAAAGCCGGTTGAACATCTTCTCTAGCATGAAATGTATTCCATAACTATAAAATATCATTAGAATTGTTCTCTATTTTATCTAAAACCATTAATTAATTAAAAATCACCTTTGTGGTAATGAATAGTTTTTCACGAGGAATATTAGAATTTGCAATAGCTTCACCAATCTCTTTTTCATTGTTGTACTTCGATTTATTATCATTAGTAATGAATGAATATTTTGAATTTAATGCTACTAATATTACTAATATTTATAAGTATCAATATAACACATTAACCCTACCGCATAAGCTGTATCGATATGTCGATATCCCGTTTTTAAAGCACAATCAACAGCTATTTTCACTGTAGTGCTTTTACTCTGCCAAGTTCCAAACCCAACTTTTATTATAATCAAAAAACGTATCTTAATTTTAAAAAAAAACGTAATAAATTTAATCATTCGTTACCAGCAGGAATTAGAGCTCCTGTGTTTAATCTAAAAGTCCTCGATAACGCCATTTGTATGGGTACGGAAGAAAAATTTTTTTGTTTCACTAAATGTTTCCGGTTAGACGAACTACACTCGAGTGAATTTCGAGAGCAGTAGATAATACGGAATAAAATTCTTTATTCTTCTTTTCTTAAGCTCAAGAAATGAACATATTATGATTTATCATTTAAAAAAAATAATAATTTTACAAATTTCATCTCCTGCCAAAGAAAAGTTTCGAAAGTTAATTTTTTTTTTAATCAGATTCTCGGTTTATATAGCGATAGTCATTTGTGGACACGTGGAAAGTAAAACTACATATATTCTATTACCATTAATTATAGACAGTTTTTATCTTTGTTTAATACACACTATGGAAGAAGATCAAACACAAATAACCTCCGAGGCTTCTCAAGCCACACCCAAAGTAAAAACTCTGCCTTCCCAAGCTGATGCTGAAAAGGTGATTGACGTTTTGGAAATCGATTCAGATTGAATTCACCCAATTATTTTTGACATTTGTCACTTCGATTAACATAATTTTTTATTACCTTAAAAAAAGATAAGGTTAAAACGTCTTGCAAAACTACAGCCAAAGGCAGAATCTCAGAATGATCTAGCTGGACCTTCAACTTCTATTCCAAAACCAGCAATTAGTCAAAAGACGGTAACTTCGCTGCCACCTGCAAAGCATATAAGCTCTACCAATAGTTCACCGTCTTTCAATAAGATAAAAGAAAGCGAAGAAGTTATGAGCGTATGTAACCTCTTGTCTGTTTAAATACTAACAACTTCCGAAAGGGCTTGTTTTCCATCTAATATAGAATCTTGAGGCATTTTATAAGAGCTTATAAGAAGAGATGCTATAACTGGTGAAATTAGATTATTAATATTTCCTATTAACATAATAATAACAAAGAAACCCGTAACACCAACTTCAAAACCTCAAATGCCAGTAAAATCATTCGAGGATTGGCAGAACGATGCCATCTCAAAAGTTTTGCAAATCACCCTTGATGTAAGTTTCTGTCGGATGGTCTAAATCAATTAAACCATCCCAAAAAAGCATTAATAATGAATATAATTATATACATTGTTATTTGTGATGATGATACTATTGAAAATAAATAAAGATAAAAATTCACTAGCATCTTCGAAGCAAACAAATGATTTACCATTATTATTTTGGCCTCTTTTTTTTCTCGCGCGTTTATCAAACATTGTCTCTCTTAAAAGAAATCAGCGGCCGAAAAAAGTTCAAAACAATTGATCTATCTGAATTCTCTGGCTGCCGAATTAAAAGAAGAAGAACCTGGTAGGGAAACGATAATAAATGCTATTTTCTTCCTTATGAATACTCGATCGATGAAATCTATCAAAATCGGGAAAATTTCTAATTTTAATTCGGTCAATCTCCAGAGAACGCGTCACGTCCTTTTAAACTTTCATTGGAACTTATTGATCGCGCCTTGGTTTCTCGTTTGTCTATCGATCCTCAGGCAATGAGTGATGATAATGATACTTTACTTGCAATTTCCAGTCTGCCAAAAATTCCAGTGTTCGATTATTTATTGGAATGCTGGAAACGAGCAGGAGAAATAAAACGAAATTTAATTTCTCGTGCAAAGGTACAAAATTTAATTATGATAATAGAAAAATTGTTTATTATTAAATTGCGTAAGAAATGAATGTTTGATAAAAAATCTATGCTACAAGTTATTAGATCCTAAGGTCTTGAATCAGCGAGTGGCAATAATGGATAAAATCAAGGAGCTCACTGTCTCTTATTCTGGATTGGTCCTTCAGATGCCTGACATGTTCCCCCAAGTTGAAACGTATGCAAAAAATTTTTACTTTTCTTGATAGCTTTTTTCGTGTACATGCCGGATCGAATTTATCTTTCCTTTTTTTTTAGATCTTCAGCATTAGGTCCACAACTTCTGGTTCCGCGATTATTAGCTGAACCAGATACAAACGAAGGGTTACCGACAGATTTTCTTCGAGAATTTATTATTAGATTTGAGCAAGATGGTTTTGAAGAGGTGAGGCATGAAAGAAAGTATGGGCACGTTTATTACTATTATGGTACACGAAAAAATAAATTGAACTTTACGAATAAAAAGATAATCATAAATGCTCTAAAACAAAATTATAGATATTCGTCCCTGCACTCTTAGGATTAGGGACGCATATTCGTTCACAAAATATATTAGGGGATTTTCGAGCACCTTTGCGTGTAAGTATTGAGGAATAAACATATCGATTTACTATTTGTAGATATATATTCAATTTAATAATCATTTTTTGTAAAAAGACATTGACGTCCTTAACCGAAATAAAGCAGTTCGCGTCAATCGTAAGTTTTGAAACACTATTTAATTCAATATATGGGATGAATACTCATTGATTAATTCTATAAATAGCTTCCAACCCTGGAAACCTGGAATCCGCCAAATCTTCCTGCGCGAGCGCTTGAAGTTGCGTCATTTATGGGCCCATTTTGTAGACTTTCTGCATTTCCCACTGAGGAGGTTGCTTTTAAATTTTTTTATGATTTACTAATGATTCTTTATGCCAACCTGAATGAATTATAATTCTTATATTTCTTAATAATAGCAAGCAATTGTAGACGCGTATTTTTCAAATCCTCGTCAACGACAACAACGTGAGCTAGACTCTGCAATTTTAAACATAAGAATGACCTTAAAAGGAATTCAAGTAAATTAAATATACTAATGTTCAATTACGAATGAATGACATTATTTATATTTATGCAATTTATTCAATTATCCAGGATACCCTCTTTCAAATCTTCAATAATATTGTGCGTTCAACATCGCCAAATGCTCGTGAGGCAGTTTTAAATTATTGGGCAACTGTAATAAAAGTAAATGAAAAGAGAGCTCAAATGCAGGTATGTGTTTGCGTATACCAATTAATTTAATATATTATATTTTGTTGAATTAGTTTTAATTTTTTTTTAGGTTGATCCTATGATAGTAGGTACTGACGGTTTTCTATTGAATATGACCGTGATTCTTCTTAAGTTTGCTAATCCATTCATGGATCTCAACTACTCGAAGGTTCTTATTGCATGAAGTTTTTTTGTTTATTCCGCATAACATTACAACAAAAAAAATGAACTGACTCCTTTATTTATAGATTGATCGAATTGATGTTGACTATTTTAGAAAAAGTCATCGAATTGATATAAGCCAGGAAACAAAAATAAACGCCAGCCAACAGGAATCTGACGAATTTTATAAAGATCAACCAGAGAGTGGTAATTTTTTACAATCTTAGTTAAATCCAAGAAATTACCTATTAAAATATTTCTCGAAATTACAAAATTTGCAGGAATAAATTTTATTTCTGAAATATTTTTCATCACGATAGCCATGCATCATTATGGATTATTAAATATTCTGAATAAATACAATAATTTCGCTAGAGATCTGAGTGAATTTCAGAAGCAATATGATAGAGCCATGGCTGAACATGCAAGAATGGCTTCGGTATGTATAGACTAGATGTTAATATATTTAATTTTTGACCTCCCTTAACATATGGTGTATTTTTCAGTCATCAACTAATATGTTAAGCGAAGCCATGCTTGAAAGAATGAAAGTAAGATTGCGGATATTTATTCTTGTATTGATACCTGTAAACTTATTGAATAGATATTAACATAACTTTTCATTAGAAACAATTGGAAAAAATGATGTCGCATAAACTGGCTTATGAGGCACAAGTTCTGGATCAATATCTATTATCACAGTCGCTGCAATTTTACAATCTTTTGATGACCTGGATTGTGAGAATAGTGGATCCAAAAGGAAAACATCCACATGAAATGATCCAGTACGAAAATTATTTTTTAGATAATTTCTGAATTGTTATTCACAAAAATATATTTACGCGCTTCGAATTTACTTGCTAGATTACCACTTCCACCCACGCCACCACAACAATTTGCAATGTTACCAGAATATTTTATTGAAGATATAACCGAATTCTTTTTATTCATTTCAAGGTAAGCCGTTTATGATAGATTTTCATGTATCTTCGATATATTTGCTTGACTTGCTAATAACGGTTGACATGCGCTAAGATGGGATCCTATGGTGATTGTGCAAAACTCTCGAAATGAACTTTTGACATTTATTATCACATTTTTACGTTCATCGTCGTATATCAAAAATCCTTATTTAAAAGCTAAATTGGTCGAGGTAAGAAACGGCACACTTAATATGGTATTTTAGTTTGAATAGGTTCTTATCTTGAAATTTTTATATACAGATTTTATTCTATTTCACTCTCCCATTCCGAGGCGAACCTGAAGGTGGCTTGGGTGCTCTACTTAATACACATTCACTCTCTTTAGAACATTTGATGCCGGCTTTGATGTCATTTTATGTTGGTAAATAGCTATTTTTTATTCGACAAATATTTGTTGATTGTTAAAACTATCGAAAGATTATAATCGTCTAATAATAATTAATGGTAATAATAATGATAGAGGTTGAGCAAACAGGAATGCATTCACAATTTTATGATAAATTTAATATTCGTTACAATATTTCACAAATTTTTAAGACCATCTGGTATAATCCTGATCACCGTGAAAAATTAAGGCAAGAAAGTCGGTGAGTATTATTTTATCTAAATATTTTGAATATTTTAAATTTTTTAACCAATTGTTGATTTATTTTTTCTATCTTTGAATCCAGAAACACAGTATCCTTCGTTCGATTTGCAAATTTACTTATGAATGATGCAACTTATTTATTGGATGAAAGTCTATCGAAGCTTGCGGAAATTCATAGCATTCAATTGGAAATGAAGAACACTGTTGAATGGGAAAGTCGAACACAGGTAATTTTATTATTTATTATCAAGGAAGTTTAATCACAATAAAATTCACGCTTCAATAATAAATTATTAGCAAAATCGTCAAGAACGCGAAGGATTGTTAAGGTCTTTAGAAAGACAAGCAACCTCATATATGACATTAGGAGATGAAACAGTAAAAATGCTCAAGTCTATGACAGAAGAAGTAGTCGAACCATTCCTTACACCTGAAATAGTAGATCGTCTGGCCGCCATGTTGGACTATAACCTTACCACGCTAGTCGGCCCGAAATCGACTGAACTTCGAGTTGAAAACCCAGACAAATATCGGTTTCGGCCACGAGACTTGCTCTCCGATATTCTTGATATATTTCTGAACCTATGCGAGCGACGCGAGTTTATTCAAGCAGTCGCGCGAGATGGTCGAAGTTACCGAAAGGAATTATTTTCTAAAGCAGCTGCTATCATGCTTAAGATCTCACGGAAAAGTGAGGTAGACATTAAGAAATTAGAGTTGTTTGTGAATCGAGTTGAGGAAACGATCAAATTAGAGGCAGAGGATGAAGAAGAATTAGGAGATGTGCCTGATGAATTTTTAGGTGAGTTAACTAATAACATAGATAAATTTTAATTATTATTATTGTAAAAGAAAATTTAATTATCCATGATT